ACCCCCACCCGGCTAGCCAGCCCAAGGGGAGGCCCCAGCCCCGCGCCAGGGAAGGAGGACAAACGGCCGTTTTGTCCTTGGCCAGCGGGCGGCCCGCACCACACAATGACCCTTTCATCAGGCTGAGGGAGCCCCGGGCCGAGGTTTCATCTGACAAGAGAGGGCTCCCGGCCTCTTGTCCCTTGCTGGGGGAGCAGGGGGCGGGGGTGCCGAGCCCTATCTGAGCCGGACCCAGGGCCAGGAAAAGTGGAGGCTCCGAGGCAGCTTGCTGAAGCCCCTCCATCTGCCCCGGGGCGAGACAGGCCCCGAGAGGGGCGCCGTTCAGGCACCCCCCCAAGCCTGAGCCGACAGAGGGTCTGGGTCTCCACAATCCAGACCTCCCCTGCCACCACCCTCAGACTCTGCTCAGCCTAGTCTGATGACAGAGCCTTGGGCCAGGCCCCCAGTAGGGGTTCCGGGCTCCCCACAGGCTGCAGAGCCCCGGCCCCCTGCCCCCCCCCCCCGAAGGCTGGCGCGAGGCTCGGGGGGACATGGCAGGGGTGGAAAGGCAGGGGCAGGGAGTGTGATTTGCTAGGCTGTGGTCAGTGGCCCTGGAAGAGCCAAATGTGCAAATAATGTGCAGTGAGGGCCTCAAAAATGACCTCCCTTCGTGATGGTCTGCTCCCCGAAGAGCATCTCTCCCTGGAGGATGAGACCCAGGGATCGGGGGACGCCTTTCTCTGTCGGAGAATTTCTCTTCAGAGGCAGTGGCAGAGCGATTCTGGGATCGGGGGTGGGGGGTGGGGGCTGTTCCCCTGGGACCTGTGTGACCTCGACGGGGCCTCCTCGCGGGGCCCCCACAACCCATCTGCCTGTCTCGGCAAGGTTCCGTGAGGCTCTCTCAGGAGGAACCCTGGGCGAACGCGTTCTTCCTTCTTCCAGAGTCTCTCTCGTGTTCCAGCTTACTGTCTAGGCAACTCCTCCCCTTATCTAGGCGCCGCCTCCTCCAGGAAGCCCTCTTAGACCCCCCCCCTAGAGAACTCAAGACTCTCCCCTGCACACAGCCACCACACCTGCCGCTGCTTCATGGGTGGCCAGCCTCCCTGCTCCTCGTGGCTGAGCAGTGTCATCTCTTGAGCGCTAACTGTGTACCCAGCACCCGGCTGAGCACGTCTCTGCATCGGCTTTCTGGATCCTCACAGCCATTCTAAGACGCCTGGGTTCCAGTACTGGGACACAGGGAGGCTACGGAAGGCACCCCGACAGTAGGAGGAGGAACAGGGATGGGACCCCGGATCAGGGAAGATTCCAGGGAAACTCGGTGAGAAAATGAGCCACCCTCCTGCAGGCCTCCACGTGATGCCAGGCCGCACCGGGACCTGGAAGAAGGGCACGGGGACCCGCCTTCCCCTCCTGGCCCTTCCTCCCCCAACACACACACAGAGGGTCGAATGGGGTCATCTCCAGAGGCTACCCTCCCCCCTCTGATTAGTGGTCGCCGAGCTGTGCCCACATGGCAAGGCTCCTGGGGCGCTTGTGATCGTACAAACTCTCATCTCTCCAGCCCACGCCCTGGAGCTTCCCAGCGCTAACCCCCCCCCCCCCCCACCACCACCAGCACCACGTGCCCATGCCTTTCTTCGATCCCAGCGGCTTGAGGGCCCAGCCAAGTGACGGATGAGGAGACCGTGGCCCAGAGAAGCCCGTGGACCTGCTCGAGGCCACACAGCAGAGCTCTCCTCCAACCTGGACAGACGCAGCCTGCAGGCGGGGAGCGGCCCCTCCCAAGGCGACACCCGTCCACGCTGCCACACAGGCCCCGATGCCAGGGGAGGGGGCCTGATTCAGCAATGCCCGCCCCCCAGGGCCCTGCCCACGGGGTTTCTGGGGCTGCGGCTGGCACCACCAATAAAGCCACAGCGGCAGAGCCGGGAAGAGGTCCAGCCTCGGCAGGGCAGTGGTGAGCGCCCCCCGCCCCCCCCCCCCCCCACGGCCAGGTGGTCGGTGAGTAACCGCCCCGTCACCCATGACTCACTCAGCTCCCCAGAGCGGGCGGTCACCATGAGAGGCTCGCACCGGAAGACCTGGGGGCATCACTGCAGCCAGCCTCCACATCTGGGAGTGGAGGCCAAGACCGGAAGGGACCTGCCCAGGACAGCAGGCCAGCCCGGTCCTGGCACAAGGCCCCCACACCAGCTGACTGGCACCGCAGGCCCTCTTCTTGGCCTGCGGCCCCCCACCTGCCCTCCCTTGGGCCCTCACTGACCCCCACCCCCACCCCCACCCCCGGCCCCGGAAGCTTCTGCTCCGACAGCAGTGGCACAGAGAAGGGTGAGGCCGGCCAGAGCTGCCTCCCACCGCCAGCCAAGCTCAGCATCAGGCGGGAGGGCTCAGGGCCCTTCCAGGCCAGCACACCCGTCCGACCCAATCAGTGGCAGGGGCCCAGGCATGCATCTGGGATTCGCTACGCACGGACCACAGCCCGAGACAGGGAGCTGGGAGAACAGCCCAGATGAAAGGGGCAGGATCAATTGTCCACCAGTGTCTGTGATCCCGGCAGTGGGATGCCTTCTGGAAAGTTCTCTGGAGCAGAAAGAAGCCTCCGCCCGGGGCCCCTCCTGCCCCTGGCATCCTCAGATCCCACGGGGCTGACGGTGCCAAGTATCCCTGCGGTACTGAGGTGGGCTTCCCGCTGACCCCGAGCCGAGCCGTTCTCTGAAGCACATCCGCGACGGCCACCTCACCTGCACCCAGGCCCCGGCTCGTAGCCACCCACGAGGTCCTTCTCACCGGTGCCGCTTGCACCCCGGGGGCTCTCTCCCGCCCATGGCATCCTCCACACCCAGCCAGCCCTGTGCCCACCCAAACAGGGCAGGGAGGGAGGCAAGGTGGAGATCCCAGAGGTGTCATGGTCCCCTTCTCTTGCTCCTGGGGACACCTTACTTGGTCTCTGCTCAGGGACAGCCTGGCCTCAGCACTTCCTCCCTCCCTTCTCCCCACCCAGGGGCTGGGGTTGGGGCAGGGGTGCTGAAGGTAGGGCCGGCTGGGGGGGGGGGAGGGGCAGAGTCCGCTTTGCTGTCTCCCATCACCTACTCTGGACCCCAGCACTGCCCCCGGAACGTCTGGAAAACTGTCGCCTTCGGAGAATTTTCCCCAACAAAGCTGGCAGTGAACACGCAGGGAATGAGCCTGTGTGGGACGGATAGCAGTCACTGCAGGCCTGGATTGGGGGAGCCAACCCCGGAGGAAAACTTGGGGTCTACGGATACAGACGGGCCACCACCTGTGGCACCCCTCACTGCCGCCTTGGTCTCGTCCTCTACAGCTCCTGAGCCCCCTGCCCACCTCCTCCTCTCAGATTCCTACTCCAGCCACCACCCCCCCCCCACCCCCACCCCGGGATTCCTACCCCTGGCCACCTCCCCATAATGCCAAACCTCAGCCAGCTGCTTCCAAAAATGATTTCTTAAAGCATAATAGCTGATGCTTCTCTAGTTTTAAGATTGAGATGCGGGGGTTTTTAGGGGAGGGGGAGGCTTCCCGACCTCTGACCTCTGAGAACTGGAGGCGGGGATTCCAAGGCCCCCCTTGGTTGATCCATTTCCCCAGGAGGGATGCCACAAAGCAGAACTCTCCGGCCCGCCACTTTGTTATCCTGATTCCTCAACGATCAGGCGGTCCCCATCCGGCCCCTTGCCCTGCCTGGGGCGGCCTGCCCCCCCCCCCCCACTCCTCTCCCCGGGCGATGCTTCTGCAGCCGGGGCTGCCCGCCGGGCCTGGAGCGCTCTCTGCGCCTGGACCTTGTAATTATGTCCCACAGCCCGGGAAACCGCGGGCCTCGCAGCATCTGGCTGCGGTTGCGAACTTTTGTTTCAAGATGCGCGACTATTTATAGAAGGAAAACTGGTAGGATAGTAATTTCCTAGGAGCTGGAGGAGAAATTGGCTGCGCCTCTATTAAAAAGGGGTGGGGGCGCGGCGATTTATTAGGACTGCGGCCGCGAGGAGGCGGGGGTGGCGCAGGGAGCGGGAAGACAGCGCCTGCCCCCTCTGGCCGCGTGAGGCGACCCCGGACGTGGCCCGCGTGTAAAGGAGGGGGAGGAGGAGGGGAGCAGGGGAGGGGAGGGAGAGCTAGCTCTGAGGTTTAATCAGTAGCATCCAGCTTAAATTCCCCCAAACGGCGGTTCCATAAATCAAACTTCTTTTTAAATCGGAGGCCAGAGCATATGCGTCCCATTAGGAATCGGGCGAAGCCACTGCTGCGCCGACGCGCCCCCTCGGCTCCCGGGCCCGGCCGGGCCCTGCCTGGAGCTTCCCGGAGCCCGGTGGGCGCTGCCCGTCCCGACGCACACGCGCGCCCACGCTCCGCGCGCTGCCTTGGCCCGGACCCCAGGGCGCACCTCGGCCAGCCGCACGCGCGCTGCGTGTCCCCCTCGCCCCAGGTGAGGAGTCACCCGTCGCTGGGTCTGGCCGCTCAGCGCGGCAGGAAGGCGCGGGAAGCCGCAGTCACCACCGGGGACGGCTTGGGCGCTGTCTGGCGGGGCGCAGCGTGCACGTGTGCGCCTGTGGGTACGCGGGGGAGCGGGTGCGTGCGTGCGGCTCTCTCGAGTGCGGCGCAGCCGTGCGGGCCTCGCGGACTTATAAAGGAGAGGGGCTATCCCGCTGGTCCCGGACTCGGGTGGGACGCGCAGGGAATCCCCGCGCCGCCGCGCGCGCTCCGGCCCTCGCGCTCCGTGCGCGCAGTCTGGTCCACCCCGGCGCTAGGGCCTCTCGCGGGCCCCGCTCTCTCTGACCCCACAGCCGTCATTTCTCACTGCTGCAGCCGCCCCCCAAGCCCTCCACCTCGGCGGCTCAGGCCGAGGAGACGACCCAAAGTCCCCGGGCTGCCGAGCGCGTCGGGCACCCGGTGCCCCGCCCAGAGACTCCGCTGCCGAGCTTCCTGCCCGTCCGGCTCCAGCGCTGGAGGCCCAAGACGGGGCTCTCCCCACCCCGCCCACCCCGCGTGCGGCCCGCGGCACTCACAGGTAGCTGCCGCTGGACAGGATCAGAAAGATCTGCGGGCAATACACGGAGAGGAGCGCGCCGCGCGGAGACAGCAGGAGCATGGTGGGCCGGCGCTCCTGGAAGGGCTTGGCGGGCCCTGCGGGCGGCGCGCCTGGGCCAGCTGAGGCCGGGGTCTCCGCGGCCCTCCCCGAGGTGGGGCGGCGACACCAGGCGCTAGGCACCCGGGCGCGCGGGCCCCGGCGCAGGATTCGTCCGTGCCCCGCCGCCAGGGCCGAGCATCGCGTTGCCGCTGGGGCTGGGACGGCGGCGGGCGCTGGGGCTGGAGCGCGGGACCGGGGGACCGGCAAGTGGGTAGCGGGTGCGCCTCGGCGGCCGTCTAGCCCTCCGTCCGTCGATCGGTCGGAACCGGCTCTGTCGCTCTGGCTCAAGTCTCCAAGTCTCTCGAGGCGCGCAGCTGCCATTGGACGGGCCGCCCCTACATCCGCCTCCTCTGCGGGCGGGTTTTTTAAAGGGGAGGCTGACCGGAGCGTGCGACAGGAGCCGCCCCCAAGGCTTGCCCAAACTGCCTAGGCCCGTACCCCCCTCCCTTCCCGCCCAACTTCGGCGAACCACACAGCTCTGGCCGGTTCTGGAAGGTGCACCTGGGGCGGGGGGGGGGGGGTGGGGGAGGGAGGCACCAGCGGGATAACCGCGCGAGGGCGTGCGCTCCTCTTGGGGGGCTGTGCTCGGCAATCTGTTCTCCTGTTCGCATACATGTCCCTGCATGTGCCTGTGTGTGCCCGCGGGAGCGTGGGCGCGTCTGAGGGCGCAGGTGTGTGCTCACAGATGCGCTGTGTGCGCTGTACCTCTGCCCGCGCGCGCCCCTGGGTTTGGTTAGGCTGGTCGTGAGTCGCTCGCTCTCAGACTAACCCACCAGGCCCAGCCAGGCAGGGCTCACCTGTGCACATGCGCACTGGTGTTTCTGTAGGGTCCTGCCTCGGCGCCTCTTGGGAGGGGCTGAGAGCGAAGAAGGCACCCCTCGTTGGTGCACAGAGGCCCCCAGCTCTGGCTTCCCCATCTCGCTTCTTTTGCTTTCTTTGGAAGGGTTGGTTGGAATGGGTATCGGGAGAAGCAGATCCGCAAGGATACACTTTCTAAACAATCCTCCTTCTTCCGGTGAGTTTTGTTTTAAAGGCCAGAAACTCACCTCCTGTTTGGAGGTTTTGAGTCCCACCTCCTATTGTCTGCCAAGCCTGGCTACATATGAGTGGTCTTCTGGATGCAGTGTAGACCCCCATCAGCTGGGGCGAAAGCACCAGGCAGGGGAGGGGACAAGAAAAGAGAGGTCTGTGTGATATGGCCAAGGACCCCGGGCTTCTAGACCTGGCATGGAGATTCACCCCCGGCAGGCATCCAGAAGGAGGGGGCTGCCTCCTTCACCTCTTTCCACTGGGCCCCTCCCGCAGGGGGAGGAGGCAGGAACGGAGCTGGGCTGATCCTGGGACTTCCTGTGACCCCACTTTCAGTGGGCAGAGGGGTGCCCCGATTCCAACGGCTTGTCCCTGCCCCGGCTTGGCCTCCTCCAAGGGCTGCCGCTTGGAGCGGGCTCGGTCCCAGGGTGAGGAACCGTGACTCCCCAAAGCCATTTGTTTCGAAATTGCTGAAAATCCAAGACAGAACTCCTCTTGGGGCCCGGATCCCCAAAGGGATTGTGAGGCCTGAGTTCTCCATTTCTGCTGGCCTGAACCCCCCCTTGCCCCCCGGGGGCTGCACGTCAATGCGTGTGCCCGAGTGGGAGAGGTTCCCAGTATACATCAAAAACACACACACACACACAGGAGTGGGCGGGGGGGGGGGGGCTGTGATCACAGGATACCCCCCCACACACCCAGTGCAGACAATCTCTGACATCTGGTTAGAACTTTTGGGGCCCTAATAGCCCAGCTCCTGGGATTCTGAGGCCCTGAAAGACACTCTCCAGAGGAGTCCCCAGGGCGTGGGCAGCGGCTATGATCCCAAGGTCATTAACAGTAAGAAGAGCTTCACTGGTGCGCACAGGTGTTTATTGGGCCCCACCCCTACCCCCAGGGCACAGGCACCCAAGACTAATCTTCAGGGTACGGTGAAGGAGGTGCTACTGTGACCCCATTTTGCAGATGAGGGAGGCAGACCCGGGGAGATTAGGGCGCTTACCCAAGGCCACCGATGAGTGAGGGGGAGGGGGGAGCCAAAACCTCACCCTGAATGCACTGGGCTCCCAAGTCATTAGCCCCTCAGGTCACATCTGGGCCCAGCTCCCGCCTCCTCCGGGCTTTGTGCAGCCAAGGTGGCTTGCAAAGAAAGCAAGCCCCCAGCCCCAGTTCGGGCGGGCAGGGGCTGCCTTACTGGCAGAGGCAGAGCCCCTCCCCTTAGCAGATCCCAGGGCGGCTCCCTGGCTTTCCTGGATGTGGTTCCGCAGGGGTGGGGGAACACTAGATTTTCTTCTCTCCCCCCGGGAGTGGGAGAGCGCGTGTTTCAGGGGGCACAGCAGAGGGAGAAGCTTCCCACTCCAGGGCTCCGGAGGGGGGTGGTGCAGAAGGCAGAGTCTGGCTCTCTTGCCCACTCCCAGAGAGGCGGGCGCACTGCCTGGGCACACAGGCTGGTCTCTCTCTACTCAGACACCGGCCACCATCGTGTTCAGGATGGCCAGAGCTGAAGTCTCGCTCACAGAGGGCAAAGGGAGGCCCAGGAAAGTGGGGAGAGGGAAGCCACCGTCGGTCGGTAGCTGGACCCGGAGGTCTCAGAGCCCTGCAGCCAGCCCTGGGAGCCCAAGTCGGTGGCATCGGGATCTCCTTCCGCTGCCTGGGGCGGGGAGTGAGGGTCCTAGAGCCCACAAGCTGGGGGTGGATGTTCTTTGGGGTGGCTCCCGTTTAGGAACTGGTGTCAGGGTGCTAGGAGGAGTGGTCAGTGGTGGAGGCCAGAGCCAGTCTGAGCTCTGCCACTGACCCTTGGGGACAAGCGACTCGGCCTCCCTTGCTCAGTTTCCTGATCCTTAAAAGGGGAGCTTAATCTAGGATCGCCAGGAGCGGACGAGGCCTTAGAGCTGAGAACCGGGCAGCACAGAGAGAGGAACTGCGGGGGCTGCTGGGGATCCCCAAACCGGGCCTCCCTCCCAACCCCCACCCCCTATCGGACTCGGGTGCCGGCACCCTCACCGCCCATAAACAAACACCCAGGGACACAGCGGACACCCAGACCCACCACAAACAGAGCCACCAGCGGCCGCAGGCACGCCGGCCCAGGCCTGCAGAGCTGAGGCGAGGTCGGGGCCTTCCAGCCCTGCCCCTGCAGCCACCGGCCTCAGTTTCTCCACCTGTAAAACGGCGGAGGGGGCCACAGAAGGACGGGCGATGGGCGGTAGACGAGACGATTCTCCCGTGGTGTCTTCACCTCTCCGCCTGGGAAGCCGCGTCTCCGCCTCCCGCCGGGCAGCCCGCCGCCTGTGCTCCGGCCGGGACCCGCCTGCCTCCCCGCGGCTGGCTGCGCACAGTAGGGGCGAAAGGCGCGGCGGGGCCCCGGAGCGCGGCGCACCGCACCCCCTCACGGTCACCTCGCCCCTCCACCCCCCACTTCGAGCGAGGCCGAGACAGATTCTGTCTAAAGGAGATCGCAGCTCAACAGGTAAGGACTCGGCTGGGTTCAGGAATGTGGAAATACGACTCGGGGCAGCTACTGCAGCGAGCGCGGCGAGAGGGGGCCGGGCCG